GCTTCAGACAGCCATCACTACAGCGATCTACACGATCAACAACGTAATTTCCTCATGTCTTAAACCTTTGTATTCAGTCAGTTTGAACCACTTCCTCCTCCTCATTCCTCCCACCCCCCCCCCCCCCCCCTTCCCGAGTCCTTCCGCTACTTCCGCTAACTCCTTATCCCATTTCCTCCTATTATGTTATCGTTTTTTACCTTCTCCGCCGATTATTCTTGTTTCTCTTCGCTTTATTTGATCCCCTTACTTACCCTAGTAGTTCGGCTCATAAGAAATATATAAATTCCTCCTATTCTTTCATTCTTATCTATTCCTCTAGGCCTATTTCCCTGCCCGCTTTTCCTTATCACTTATGACCCCATTCATTATCAAATAATTCTAATCCTTCCTCTTTCTCCCTATGTCCTTATTATCATTCACTCTTCTGCGTCTCCTTCACTCATGGCATTAGCCCGGTTTTTCATACTCAATTTTCTCTACAAACCAATTTTCCATAGACTCGTCTCTCCCGCATTTTCCTCTCTTCTCATATTTCTTTCTCCTCTCCTTCCCTGTCTTTATCCCTCTCAGTTCATCGCTCTCTCTTCCTCTCTCTTTCCCTTTCTCTCGATACCGGTCCCTCTCCCTCTCTTCCCGTTCCCTGTGATCCCCTACAGCTTCCACCGATAAAGGCAGCGATCAAGCGATACAGTCGTTATCCACTTCCCCTTCTCCCCTTCTGGACAACGCTTCCCCTTTCCCCCTTAATACCCCTTCCCCCCCTACAACCCACATCTTACTAACAACCCCCAGGCCCCACCTCCCCCTTACCCATAGTAACTGGCACAGTGAGTAGGCCGAAGGCCTGGCATGATCAGGACCGGCCTGAATACCACGTAAACCACAAATATGATACACGAAATATATTTGGAACTTAAGGCAGGAGTCACACACACTCGTATCGAAGGGTCCAATTGTTACGTTCATCCTCAGTAAGTGAGGCACAACGTGAAAATTCCATGAAGAGAGAACTTGGCGCCCTATCTTCATTTAAAAACTCCGCTGGTCACCTTTGGTGATCTTGGAGGGGCCTTTGAGGAGCAGGTGAACTCCTCCATACCCTCTCCAACAGCTACTGTTTCTAGACACTACAAACCCTTTCTTCCATCACTGCTCCCACCATTACCACTAACTACCACCATTACTATTGGCACCAATCACTCCAACTACCGACATCTCTCCACATACTACCAACATCAGATACCTAGCAACACCCACCCAAAGAACTACCAATCACCACCCAACCAACATTAACCACCAACCAAAGCTACCAACGCTATAATTAATCACAACCATCTGACCAACATTTTTCTGTCTTATTTCATACCTCTCCCGTCTATTGCTGTCCAAGGAACAACAATCCGTCCCTGTCTTAACTGATTCTCATTTGTATTACATATCGAGTTTAGTTAAATGTGAAAACTAGCTGATTAGTAAAACAACTATTTTCCAGTATCAGGACAAGCAGTCGCTCTATCAACTCTTCTCTTCCTATTAACCACGATTTTCTGACGTTTTTCTTAACGAGTTAGGTCAGGTCTGGTCACACAAGAATATGTTAATGAAAAGGCTAAATTAGGTTTGTTTTCATTTTGTTTATGTATAAAAACAAGACTAAGTTAGGACGAAATGTTAGTGAGACCGAATTGATCAGCTGACTTGTCTTGAAACTATATTTAACAAGACTGAAGAAGCTTATATGATAGACGAACGTTAATTATTTATTACACAAGAAAAATTTACAACAATCCCATTGCGATTTTTCGGTACCGATTATATACATTATTCGTAGAAAAACTAGATCATTTCTAGCCTTCTAACACCCCTCAACTGACTTTCTATTTCCACTTATTCTATCGCTCCCCTCCTCTCCCCACTCATCCACTTCTCTTCCCCCCTCCCACCCGCTGCGCTTCTATTGCTGACTGTTCCATAATGAACTCCGGAAAATGGAAACTGGCCATCTCTTATCCACGGAACGGAAATTAAATATATTGATGCCACGTGCTATTGAAGGCCCCCCCCTTCGCGCGTGCGTGTGTGTGTAGTCTCCTAGTCGTATTTACCTAGTTGTGCTTGCGGAGTTTGAGCTCTGGCTCTTTCGTCCCGATTCTCAACTGATAATCAACTGGTGTACAGATTCTTGAACCTATTGGGCTGTATCAAATCTACATTTTTGTTGAACACCAATATGTCAATGTTGGACAGTGGAACCACTATGGCAATACCGAGCAGTGACACCACTATGGCAATGCTGAGCAGTGGCACCACTATGGCAATGCTGAGTAGTGGTACCACTATGGCAATGTTGAGCAGTGGCACCACTATGGCAATGTTGAGCAGTGGCACCACTATGGCAATGCTGAGTAGTGGCACCACTATGGCAATGTTGAGTAGTGGCTTCACTATAGCAATGTTGAGTAGTGGCACCACTATGGCAATGCTGAGTAGTGGCACCACTATGGCAATGTTGAGCAGTGGCACCACTATGGCAATGCTGAGTAGTGGCACCACTATGGCAATGTTGAGCAGTGACACTATGGCAATGCTGAGTAGTGGCACCACTATGGCAATGCTGAGTAGTGGCACCACTATGGCAATGTTAAGTAGTGGCACCACTACTTAAACTGGCCAGAAACGCAGGAATCCAAACAGCCCACCAAACTATTGGGGTGATGCATATAAAAAGAGTTATAATGAAACTCTTTATTTTTACACAGGTGTCGCATTTTAAACGGTTTGTTTTTCTACCACAGACGTGGCCACACATTTACAATGCTAACCAGCATATATGCATTTTCTTCTGTCCTCCATGTGAAAGGTAGAGTGAGTATAGAGAAAAGGGGATTCAGAGGGCAAAAAGTTCCTTGGACTTGACCCAACGTTAGCTCCTTTTTTTTGCGGTAACATTTTAATGTGACATAGAAACTCTATATCACATAAAAACCGTCAAGAGTACCGTCAAGAGTCAAATGTGACTCTTGACGGTATAAATGACCACTTACCCAAGTATCCTTTTATTCCTTTTAAAGTGGGAAAATATTTGTGGTTTACGAATGTTAAAAGTACGTTATGTTATGTAGGTTATGTTAAAAGTACGAATTTTTGCTTTACTAACAAAATATGACATATAATCTTAGGTTAATTGGCGCCTTTAGGAAGGTGAATTATGGAATATGTAGCAGGTGGGATAGGAACATGCCATTCTTGCCTGCACACTTCACTACAACACGGGAAATATGTTTATCGAGAACACTATTACCACAATAAAATATAATAGAGGAAGTTAAGTGTGTGTGGTGGGAGAGACAATATAGATAATGAGAGAGTGAGAGACAGACAATTGGAAGAGAAAGAAAGGAAATACATTGGTCAGAGACAGGGACACGAGATTATTAATCCTAGGAACATCTTAAAAGTAACTTTAAGATATTGTTGAAGAAGAACTCGGATTAACTAGATCATGGCCAAGTAACTCGTACGATCACGTATCTAGAAAAAAATCTAGAAGGACGA